ACAGGCTACTCTCTCATTTCTCTCCCCAAAGCCTGCTTCCCCAGTCTCTCCTCAGGCATCTCTTGCCCACTCTGCCCTCACCTTTGCCAGAGACCAGAGTTAGCGGCTGCAAATGAAAATTTATGTATTGGTCTTTTAAATGACTTTTTGCATCTCCAGCTGCCTGTCTCTGGCAGAGAACAACCCTGTCATTTTTTGCAGCTGGCTGTTATCTGTACTTTTTGGGGTCTGGTGCTGTAGGCTGGAGAGTTCTGCTTATGGCTTAGATCCCGCCCTTCTCAGGGGGTTCCAACTGGCTATTTCAATATCCTTTTGGTGCTGCCACCTGTGGGTGCCCTGCCTGCTTTCTCCATTCTCTACCACACTCCTTACCAGTTAGGCTAAAGCTGATTCTTTTGTCTGTCCGAGGTTATAAGGCTTCTCTCTCACTATTGTTCAGTTGTTTGTTCCGGGTGATTTCTCCACAATTTAGTTGTAATTCCAGGTTGGTCCTGGGAGGAGGTCAGTGTGACTTCCACTCACTGCTCTGCCATCTTGATTCCTAAATATCAGCTTCTTCTTTGGAAAGAAACAGTCTTTTTATCCTAAGTTCATGGAGGAGTTCTCTAGGTCCCGGACTACCCTTTCATTAACATTTGCTCCTGGAATTGAAAGTAATCCTACAAATGAGATCTGACAAGCCTCTGAGGTTCAATGAGATTATTTCATTCCATATTTTCAACCTTACCTTCCATTAACATATCCTAAAATTTCATTACTTTTCTTGGCAGCCATACTACACTGATGACTCATGTTGGCTCACATTTTGCTTGTGGTCACTGGATTCCCAAGATCTTTTCATGTGATGACTGTTAAGCCAGATCTTCTCAATCATTTACTTACATGACTGACTTATTGAACATGTGCAAATTTAATTGCGTAATATAAAATTGTATTTGTAATACTTCAACTATTTAGTTCATGCCTTTAAATTCCTTTATGCTGTAGTACATCTTACTTGGCTACTTCAACAATAAATTGCAAACTGGTGGCCTAGGGGTCAACTTGACCACATATTCATTTTATTTGGCTAATATGGTGTTTTTCTGAGAACTGAATTTCTTTCCAATTGTTGAGCATCAGGAGATCTCCATAAAAAGTGGCCTTCCATCTACTCTTGGAAAGTAAAAAGATATGGCAGTGCTGGACCCTCATTTTCTCAAGTCAATGTATAATAGGCTGTGGCTGGGCAGCATTTACCCACTCTGCAAGGTACAGGCACAGCTCACTGCAGTCCCATCATGCTCCATGGCCTAGTCTTGTCCTGCCCAGCCTGTCTGTGCTATCGGAGCAGGTTAAGGCAGGAGGTGAACAGGGAGACTGGAAGCAGAAGAGGTTTGAAAAGGGTGGGGTTCAGCCATCCTTGTTTGCTTTTGTGGGGCCCCAGTTGCACATATTAGAGAGGGAAATTGAAGACAGAGGGGTGGTTCTGGATCCCCCACATGCCACTTGTTCTGAAAACTCAGTTCTTCTGTGTGACTCCTGAGGGAGCTGCCAGGTTTCAGATGATCCTTGCTCCTATAACCTACACAGATTGCTCCAGAGAGTGACCCTCTTGGCCAAACTTGGTCACTTGTGTTTTAAAACCTGCAGTCTGTGACAGTCAGAGGAGTGCCTTTTGTCAGTGGCTGAAGCTACGGGTGAAGTGCTTCTGGAGCTCTGACCATGTTCCCTATCACTCAGCTTGGGAAGTGGAGGTGCTAGTGCAAGAGAGGGAAAGAGCCTATCATCATATAGAGAAGTGTGCAGAGCAAGACACATAGGGGGCTGTTTGTAGTAAACTGGCTCTCAGGCTGGGGTGCTGATTTTCATAATCTATTCTGCTCCTTTGAAAACCTAACTTAAGTTTATTTCTGTTGCTGGCAACCAAGAGCATCCAGGGTGTTTTATCATAGGTAGCCCTGATCTCTGCCAGTTGTCCCAGTGTCTGAGGGCTCTCTGTTCCTTACCCCACCTTGTGTTCTGTCTCCCTGCCACCTGCTTTTGGATTAAGCATTCTGGGTCTGTAGTAGGCATTTAGATAGGCATGAGCAGAGCAGGAACCTATGGGCCAGGGGCAGAGGGTTACCAGGGCAGAGAGCCCTGGTGCCTAACAACTGGCAAAACTACAAACCCTTGCACAACCACTCACTTAAGCATTAACCCCTGGAGATGACATCTAGGCCTCAGCTGCATTTTAGCTCCCAGCTCAGAATAACAGCAAAACCTGGTGAAGCCACACCATGGCTGACATCAGGACCAGTTGCAATGACTAATGAACCCCTCTCTTGGCACCAACCAATCAGTGGAGACCATAACCATGAAGAGACACACCTGGAGAGCTGATGAATATTCTGTTGGGATCCTCCCCTGAGACTTTCAGATAAATACTCTCATGATAGAGGATCCAGTGTCACTCTTTATGGAGCACTCTCTGTAGAGCAGACCCATGCCTTTCCTCACCTCCTTCTTTCTCCAGGGTGCTCTCTCCCTTTCCCCTCTCCTCTCCTCCCTTTCTTCTTTCTCAGGCCTGAACCTCCTTTTCTCTCTCAAAGTGCTTATCTCTCTCTGTCCCCCTCCCCTCCCCAATGCCAGGAACTTCTCCTCCCTCTTTTGTCTCTCAAGGCCTGTCTCTTTCCCTCTCCCCTCTCCCCCTCACTCCAAGGGTCCTTCTTTTGCTATAACTTGTTCCTGAGCCCATTTCTTCTATGGCTCACTTCTTCTACCTCTGAGACTTTTAAAATAATCTTTCTCTTATAATTTGAGTCTTGACTCTTAATTCTTAGCCAGAACTCAAGAACTGAGGTTGCTGAACCTCGCTTAATACCTGGTGCTGGTTTTTCTGCAACTGCTAACAGGTCCTTCGGGAAATTCCCATTTGTTGTTCCTGAGCCAGGGTCAAAGAGTAAAAGGAGGACAATGTGAAGGCACTTCCTTGTACTGGGATGTGCATTTCTTTTCCAGCCCTCCTAGAAAGTCTGCTCCCAGGTTCTGGTTAGCCAGGCAGCTCTAGGACGACTTCCATCTCACACAGTTGCCAGTGCTAATGTGAACAACAACTACAGAAATCCACACTATTGACAGATGTCCATAAAACAGGCTGGAAGGTCTCCTGCTGTCATCAGTAGTAAAGTCTCCAGGAATGGTAGCCTGATATGAGCTCAGGAGACCTGGAATTGAGGTGCAAAGATCTGAGTGTTCAAATCACCACTACGTGAATGATTCCGAGAACGTTTTTCATTAATTAATCAAATATTTATTGAGAGCCTACTAAGTGCCCATGCACTGTTCTAGACATGGGATATTACAGTGTAAAAATATATATATTTTTCCTCATAGGAAGCTTATATTCTAATGGACTGTGATCTTTTTCACGAGTTAGGTTCTGGAGATACAAAAACTAAAAGAATTTAGCCTCAGTGATTTCATAACTATAAGACTTTCTCACAAGTACAATGAGTTTAAAATAATGATCTCACAGTGCCATTTAAAGGATTGTATAAAATAATGCTTAGGCACATTCTTGACCTTTAAACCTCAGATACTATTTTCTCTTTGAAAAGTTTAAAATAAAAGTTACACTTAAATTCACAAACCACAGGTTAGCCTGACTGGTAGGTGGGCCCTGAATGCGTCATCTGACGTTGGCCATGGCAACAGCCTGGCTTTGACACTTGGGTTTGTGTTAGGCGGCGAAGGGAACCAGGCCTGCTGAGAACACGATACGGCCACGAGGGGGCAGCTCACTGCAGGGTATCTTGCAGTAGACGCCAGCCCACCGCCAAACTTCCCGGCTGCTCCGGGTCCTCCGTACGTACTTCCGTTCCTCTGACGCTGGCCGAAGCCCGGCGTCGGGAATGAGACCGCGAATTTCCCTTCTTCTGGGCCTCTCGAGGAGAAATTGCACTGGGGTCACCCGGACTACGCTGGCCGCGGGGGTTGGGGTTGTGCGCGGAGCCAAGTGCCTGTGCGAAGGTGTCGGTCTGGTGGGCAGCAGCGTCAGCCTCCGGAATCAGAAACACCCGACAGGGCGAACAACGGCCGGGAGGAACCAGAGCTGACCCCGGGCACCGTCGCCTACTCGAGCGCCTTCCCCTCGTGCTTTGCGGGGCGTCTCCGCACCCAAACCAGGATTGTCACTTCTGTGCCCTGTCTGAAAATGGGACCGGACCGGGGGCCCTCCAGAGAGTTATCGGGGAGGATGCCTGGGCGTTGGCTATGCCCCTAAGCTGCTTTCCAGCGCTCGCGGAGAAGGCTGTCGGGACAGCACCTACCAAACTTTCCTTTGCGGCAGTGTCGGGAGGAAACATTCCTGCCTGAGAGGCTCACGGAAAGCCGAAGGGAAGACTCGGAGCGCCAGGAGGAGACAGGGCCCAGCCTGCTCAGAAGGGCACGCACAGAGTTCCAGGGAACCCTGGAGTGCCGTAAGGGGCAGGACTAGTTGCTACCTTGCGCCCAGGGGCTCGTCAGCTTCTTTCCAGCATCGCTCACTGATCGTGACCTCCGCGCGCTTTCCGCGCACTTGCGTGCGGCGGAGGAAGAGGAAGGGTCCGGCTGAACCCGCTTTGTGCAGAAAATCGCTGGCGGGCCCAGGGTGCATGGAGGCGTCGCGGAGACGGCGTGGGTCAGCAGCAACGCGAGAAAGCGCTCACGTTGCTCCCCGGGGACCTGACCGACCGCTACCCGCACTTCGTGCCGCGGGAGGCCACTTGGAGTGCAGAGCCCGCTGAGTGTCGTGCCGGGCGACTCCCCTTGGAGTATTGCGCGGGGCGGACACGCCTCGGCACAGGTGTGGGCGTTAGCTGCGGGAGCCCCTCTCCAAAGGACTGGAAGGCTCCTCTGGCCGGGAGTTGGCTTGATGGTCGCGGAACTCCAAGTACCCACCACGCAGGTCAGTTGACGTGCCACTCTGCATCGTGGCGACCGGAGCCTCGGGCCGCCAGACAGGGTGTAGGGAGTCCTGGCGGAGCCTGGCTGCCAGGCGGTCGCCCGGGCGCCATCCTCATGCTTGCTTCCGGCCGTGGGCCCTGCTCTGGCCCCGGGACCTAGGCAGCTGCGCGCGGCCGCCGCTGGCGCCTCCCCCATGCTGCTCGGAGCGTCCTGGCTATGCGCATCCAAGGCGGCTGCCTCTCCTGCGCAGAGCGAGGACGGCGACGACAGGCCCGGCAGCCGACGACGGAGGGCCACAGCCGAGGCTGCGGGCGAGGACATGGATGAGTCGTCCCTGCTGGATCTGCTGGAGTGTTCCGTGTGCTTGGAGCGCTTGGACACCACGGCCAAGGTGCTGCCGTGTCAGCATACCTTTTGTCGCCGCTGTCTGGAGAGCATCGTGCGCTCGCGCCACGAGCTTCGCTGCCCGGAGTGCCGCGTCTTAGTGGGCTGCGGCGTGGAGGAGCTGCCCGCCAACATCTTGCTGGTGCGGTTGCTTGATGGTATCCGCCAGAGACCCCGCGCTGCCCCGGGCTCGGGGGAGGCCTCCGAGTTCGCGGAGGTCGGGGGCAGCACGGCGGGCAGCGCCCCGGGCTCACCGGCCTTCTCCATGGAGGCGGGCAGTCTGCGCGAGCTGGCAACCAGCAGGAACGTGCCCCTGGCAAAGGTGGGTAGCCTTTGCGGCGCGCGGGGGGTGGGGGTGGGGGGTTGGCGTGCGTGTGTGTGTGTGTGCGCGCCCGCGCGCGCACGTGAGGTGTGGGGAGCAGAGGTGGCTCCATAGTGACCTTCTCTATAGTCTTCTTCCTCCAACTTCCCTCCAGGGACTCCATGGCTGTAGCTCTTGCCAACTTTGGGACACCGTGCCCACTTCCATCTGCCCCCTTTCCTCTAAACTTCTTGTCGGCACCTACCTTCCATCCATCCTCTTTCTCTCTAGCTCTTTTCCCATTTCTTGCAGTTGCTCTTTGGCGGCATGTGGTCCCAGGGAACCTTGTTACCTGTTTATATGTGTGTCAACACCCCATCCTCCCAAAGAGTGGGCACATTTTGTCCCAGACTCCCCTCTAGTCCCTCTGCTGGCTGGGACTGTGCCTTTGTATTTTTCCAGAAACAGCCTTCTTTCCCTGGACCTCCAGACTAACCTTCTGCACACCTCCCTCTGCTGGGTAAAGCTAGTGCTTCAGGTTCCCCGGGTTCTAGTTCCTGGGAAGACGGCCTCCTGCCTGCATGTCTGGCAAGGGAAGGTTGGACAGAGGTGTGAGCAGGTTTGGAAGAATGCAGATTACAAACTGTTTAACAGGAGGGAAGAAGTTAACCTGGAGATAGGAGAAATGTTTGACCCATGCCTTTTTGGACTCCCTCTTTTAGAAGCCCTAGCCCTCTCCTGGGCTCTTAGGCAGGGTTTGGGGTTTTGTGTTTGTGTGCAACTACATTGTATAGCATCCGTTGCTTCTATTTTAGTCAAAGATCTTATCTTGAGAGTTTTAGTGATTTGGTTTCAAACCCTACTTAGAATGTGTAATTTCACACTCTGTGTCACCTTGGCAACTGTAATGGGTGGGGATAACCCATGGGATGCTGTTGCAAGTGAGAAACAAGGCGCACTCGTCTTACATTTCCTTTAAATGCAGAAAAGCCTACTTGAAATTAAAAAATACATTGTTGATGTACTGTAGTTATTCATTTTAGAATATGAACATTTTTGTTCTTTTGGCCAGTTAAGGAGCTGGTGGCGAATAAACCACTTAAATCCTTCCAACGTGTATAATGCTGATATGCTGGGAAAATTCTGCCCCTTGAATTACTCAGTACTGCAGCACCTGTGCACTTATGCACTTAAACCGTTGGATGTTGAGCTTTAGAGTTAAATGTCATACTTTGCCAAACTGGGTTTTCTTTGTGGATTAGGAAGAATGGGTAGTCAGGAATAGTCAAGGTATATTTATACTTGGGATCACTGCTGAAGAGGAATTGTTTTCTTTGGTTTTGATTGTGATGAAATCCAGTTATAAGTGTTACAGATTTTTAAACTTTTCCTTCCTTTTTTTGCTGTTTTTATGTAACATATTATAATTAAAGATGAGAGAAGTAAATGATTTTTGAAATGATGCTTCTAGCAAAACATTTTGATGACTGTGTGTTTACAGATGGGACTTGCGTTGGTCAGGAGGTTAGGAGGTAACCTCAGCTCTTGGAACTCTGGGGGGTCATTTGTAGCATTTAAAAAAAATACCTCAAAGGGGTTGAACTTACAACTTTTAGTAGTGCTAATTGGAACAGGAAATTAATTTTTGTTGAGTGGATTTTGGGATAATTGATTGACTTTCTCTGTAGGCATATAGCTCTCAGACTATGTTGATGATGTCTGAGCTTTAGGGAACTTTTGACCTCATTTAAAAAAAGTATCCTCACCCAAGGATATGTTTATTACTTTTAGAGAGAGAGGGAGGGAGAGTGGAAGGGAAGGAGGGAGGAAGGGGAAGAAAGAGGAATAGAGAGAAACATTGATCAGTGACCTCCCGTACTTCCCTCGATCGGGAATTGAACCTTTTTGTGTACTGGACGACATTCCAACCAACTAAGCCACTTGGTCAGAGTTTGACCACATTTTCTTTCTTTCTGTTCGTTGTGTTAACCAAGTATGACCTCCAGTCCTTTCTTCTTTACAGGCCCACAGCATAACGACAAAGTTTGGGTTCTAGGAAGAGTTTGAATTAAATCTAATCTTTTATTTGATCACCTTCAAAGGGGAAAAAGTAAAGCTTTTTAGTCACTGATTTTTAGCAGTCAGTGGGAGTCTTCTTGGGCAACTGAAGTCCTGCATGAAATGTTTTACGTTAAGCAAGCCTCTGAATTTGGCAGGCAGGCTTCAGCTGAAAATTTTACTTCCAAATAGGCTTTCAGTATTTTACTGTATATTGGAATTGCTCATAGCAAAGCTGAATGTTGGCTATTGCTGCATGTTGCTTAATAGATGGGCACTCATGTTATTATTCAGCAAATACCATGTATACCTCAGTAGCAGGTGACTGTAAATATAAGATAGCCCCCTATTTTCCCAGTGAGAAGCTTCTTAATTAAACCTTTTTTTGGACCAATTGGGATGTGTAAACTTTTTAGGTATGTAGCTAAACAAATATCTGCTTAAATTGATTATTAATTCAGTTACAGTTAGACATTGGGAATGAATCAAGTATAAAATGTATTAATTCCTATTTGGTTCATGAAATAGTTTTTTTCCACACTCTTCACTGGCATCTTTTTCATCAGGGTTTTGGTTATCACAGAATCACCTGGAATCTTCTGACCTGGTTACCAGAGCCTCTTGCTTTCACCTGGAAATTTTATACCAAGTTACAAGCACCCACTGCCTAAGGTTAGGACTGTTGATCTCTTCATTTGTCCATTTTTCAAATATTTGTCATTATATGTTGCTTCTTAAAGTGATCTTTACAAAGTCCTGTTTTAACAGCAGTGTCTAACCATTGCAGTTGCTAAAAATGTGTGGTACGTTTATCAGCCCATTTGTTTTTTGTTTTGTTTTTAGTTTTGCAAGGTGACCCCTTTGAGACCTCAAAGTAGCATCGATTGAGATGTTTCTGTGCAACATGTCTTTCTAAAAGGGTTTTGTGGTTCCAAATTGAGTAATTCAAAGAGTACAGGTACTTCTTAATATACTCTCAAAAGGATTCTAATATAAGAAAATTCCAATTCTTTCGAGTGATTTTTTTTTAAACATCCCTTGCCTTATATTTGAGCATACACAGAATTTACTATGTACCTGCACTGTGTCAGACACCATTCATTCTAGGTGAACTGGGTGGGCATGGGCTCTCTTTATGAAGCTGATTTTAAGGTTTGGAACACATTTTACTCTCTGCTCTCAGGTGGTTCCCTTCAGTTGGTTTCAATCCAGGACCTTATGAAGGTTAGGATTAAGGCATTATCACAAATTAAAGAACTATAGAAAGCTTGGGTAATGATTTTGATGATATAAAACATTAGAGTCTAATTAGTTTGTCTCTTGTGATAATTACATATCTTATATACATGTCTTGTAGTGCTTCAGGACATGTTTAAATTGGAAATGTCTTCTATATTTTTTAGCCACTGTGAGTGAGACCCAGTAATGGGAAAAGTCAAATAAATAGGAGGACCTTACAAGTGATATCTAGCAAATATTTTATAGACATATGAGGTCTGTTCAGAAGGTATCCAGCCATGTGATATGAAAAATAGAGAGTTATTGAAGAAGATACAAGATAAAAGAAACATTGTACATAGGACAATGACACCTCAGTCCCCTTCAAAGAAGGCACCTTGGGACCTCACCCAGTTCTCCCATTCGCCATCAGTTGCCCCATCACATTTTCCTGAATCTCATCAACGGTTTGAAACCTCTTCCCTTGCAAAGGTGATTTTAGTTTTGGGGAAAGCCAGAAGTTGTAGAGCGCCAAACTGGGCTGTAGGGGAGCTGAGTCATCTGAGGTGAGTTGATGTTTCACCAAAAAACCCTGCGCCAGACTGAGATGTGATGCATGAGTAGGTGTGTTGTTGTGATGAAGCTGCCAGACACCAGTTGCCCATAGCTGCAGCCTTCTGATTCTTCCAGATAGTTTCTGTGGAGGAATATTCAATCTTAATGCAAAATTTGATGCAGATTCGTTGCTCTACTCACTGAGTCATCTTGAATGTGACAGCCACACAGTACACAGCTCACTCAATAGACATCTACAACCTGCACTGACTGGTACAGTGAAGTTGTTATTGTTCACACATGCACATTCTAGTCTGCTTACCTCAGCTGCCAGGTTATATTGATATCATACAGATGATTCTTATATGAATAATGGCTGGACTCTTTCTGGATAGACCTTGTACATACACAGTTTTCTGGATGCGGGGCTAAGGACATTTCTCTGAGTTCTGTCAGCCAATGGTTGTTGCCACCAATTCAGTACCAACAGGAATCTCCAACCTGGTGTGCAGTGAAGAAGGACACTTTATTACAAGTAAAACATATCAATGGTGATAAAGTTCAGCTGTGAAAACTGCATGGTTGTCAAGCAGCCCCAGGGCCAGGCCTCTCTTCAGCTCAGCAGCTCTGGTCTGGTCTGGTGTATTCCAGTCTGGTCTGCTCTACTTTGCTATGCCCCAGTGAGATGTCTGCATGTTTCAGCTTTAGCCAGGGAAACACAAGACTGTACTCTTCAGTCTTTCCTGGGAAGGGAAACTGTGCTCTCTGAGAGGGGAGCTGGCTTATATGGAGAGAAGTCCCTGCTTCTGGTGCCTAATAAGTCCATCCTCATGCAAATGAGAACTCCAAATCCTTGCAGTTGGATTCGTCCAAAAGACTGCCCTTATTGGTCAGAATGGAGCTGTTCTGATTGGTTGGTGAAGATGTTAATGGGGATATAGCTCCACAAATTCAGTTGGAAGGGTAGGCCTCAGTCCTATTGGTTGAGGCAGGATTCCAGGAACTCCTCAAAGGCTGGCTCAGATGTCAGAAACACAGTATAGGAAGGTGGTTCTGTGCAGACTTCTTCCTGATGTGCAGTTTGCATGTAGAAATGGCTGCTAGCCTCTCTTTTTGTTTTGTTTTTAATTTAAGCCCAGTTAGACCACCAGGAACCCTTCTTGGTAGGTATCTTCTTTCTCAGTGCCCAC